CGCCTCTTGAGAGTCCAGACACAAGTGGATTTGACTGGCCATCAGGTTCAAACAATTCTCACAGAATCCAATCAAGCAATCACCCCAGGTAAACAATTCTCCAAACACATTTCACATAGGAAAAACAAGGACTAGAAATAGAAATTGTTTTCTCTTTCTTTCCCTCTGTGCACCTCTACGAAAAATTCTGAGAGAGAGAAATGTGCTTACCACAGTAGCACAATGCCTTTTGACACTCGGCACAGCTTGTTTTGATTAGGTTTAGGGGCTCTTTGGAGACTTCTGTGAGGCAGTAGCTTTGCAACTGCTCCACACATGGGCATCACCGTGTGTGCCATTGTGCCAGAGGAGCGCAGTCCCTGTCAGATGACTTCTCTGCTGGGATAGCCTGCAACAGTACTGCAACCAGGTCAGCCACTGAGAGTTGTTTGGTAACTGGCAGGGGAATTCCAGCCCTGCGTTTTTATCTGCAGTGACTCTCGCTGCTGGGAACAGCTGCAGCTCTGGATTTGAACAGAATCAGCTTTGCAGGATTCAATTTAGGTGGCTCTCAATGCAGTGTCACTGACTTCAGCACATGGCTGGGCTTACAGGTCAGGCATTTCCTTGCTGCAAGAACAGCAGTGCTTGAACGTCACACACAGTTGCACAATATCAAGAAGCAATTTGTGTATTTTGGGGGGTATTTTCTCCACTGATGAAAGTGGAGACAACAGAATTTGGTTAGGAACAGCATTTATCTTAGAGACGTTAAAAAAAAAAAGGTGGTAAACATGAACACATTCAAAAAGGAATGATAGAGCTGATTCTCCAATTTCAGTTGTAAGAAGTTGATATTCTGGAAGGAAACTGAGGAAAAGTGATACAGGTGGGGTACTTTTCAGAGACCAAATGTGTGTGCAGGAAAGGCCAACAGTTGCAGGTGGTATTGAGGTGAAGACCCTTCTGTAGAGCAATAGAGCAGGGCAGGCAATTCAGAACTGGCAGAAGAAATCTGGACATATAGAGAAGTGCAAAGTCACAGGTTGTTTGTTTTTTAGGAAGGGATCAATGGGTGAAAGAAGAAAACTTCAGAAAAATGGAGGAAATAAATAAGAGGATACAGGAGTCTTGCAGTGTTGGGGGCGGGGGGTGTGACCTCCTTGGCAAGAAGGGTGTGAGTTGTTTCACAACTGTCCTGTTACAGTAAGTGGAACAAAAGGACACGTGGTGGGAAATCACCACAACTAATACAAAAACGACAGAAAAACGGTTACAAAGGAAACAAAAGGATTGCCAGAGAGGAGATGAGAACAGTAACAGTGTGCTGGCCCTGAGAGGTCACCTTACTTCAAAGCACCCCAGTTCCTTCCTGTAGATAACAATGCCCATGTCATCTGGAAGGTGACATTTCATGCAAAGACTATGCTTAGCCAGTCCCAGGACAATGGAGTGGCCTGGGACAAGCAACTGGAATGGGAGCCTGGGCAACACAACACAGGAACCTGACCAACTGGTGCATGTTGTTAGACCAGATGCTGCAAGCATGCAAGAAAGAAGGTGGAATGGGAACTGTGACTGGATAACAGGTGGTTTAGGGAATGTATTAGCCAAGAAAGAGAAAAATAAAAGGTAATAGCTCTACAGTGGCAATTAGTGACTAGCAGCTTCATAAACAAATGAATAAATGAAACAAGGGTTAGCCAGTAATCCAAAAGACATAATGGGAATTAAAAATACTTTCAGGGTACAGTTTCACTTTTGGAAGGGAGCCTTACATAATGCAGCCTGCTGTAGTAATAATCTAGGGACTCTCATGCTCCTAGATGGACAGAAACATAGGATGAGACAATAAGGCAGAAGAGAGACAAAAAAAAAGTGTGTAAGTCAGAACACAACAAATCACTAGTAAAGGAACATGTGCCCATCCAAAAATCAGAAAAAAAGTGTGTAAGTCAGAATACAACAAATCACTAGTAAAGGAACACGTGCCCATCCAGAAATCGTTCTCAGAAAGACAGGAGCTGCATCTCAAAAGCCAAGCTGGCACTGAGAATGAAACTGCCTAAGAAAGATGATTAAGTTTCACTGAAAGATGAGCAGCCAACCAAGACAGAACTCTCTGTCTGGCATGCTCCACTGTGAAGTAATTTCAGAAACGTTCTGATTTTTGTACTAAAGTATAAATGTTGTTCTAAGAAGTTGCAGTAACCTAAGACCTGAAAGGGAAAACTGCACAAAGACATCCTATGCTGTTGAATCCTTTTGCTCCAGGCTAGGCACAGATGACAAAGCAAACTCCCTGTGTGAGGACCAACCTTACTCCTCAGATGCTGAGTACAGATCACCTGCAGCCACTACTGAGGAAAAACACCCCAGACCTTCACTTCACAAATGTTTTATTCAATGCATCAAAAGTCAGAAGACAAATGCACAAAGAAAACCAGGTACTCTAAACCTCTGACAAATAGGGTACAATTATCTTAGTTGTTTCCTGACACTGGATTCACACGGAAAATTTCAGCTACTGTTTTTAAAAACTGGAGGGATTAATTTGACATTTTAACCCCTTAAATTGCAGTGTCTGCTACAAGTGAATGTCAGATTTGAAATCTTGGACCAGAGAGAGTGAAAATTATTCCAGCTATGATGTGTCATGCTGGAATTTGGTGGCAGTCCCCACAAGCAGAACCAGGCTGCACCAAACCACAGTAGGGCAGGAAGAGGATGCCAGGCACTATGGGGACAAGTCAGTGGCTGACAGGATCCCCAGAAGTGGTGAAACACATCTGCTCCCTTCCTGCCAAACAAGTGTGATTGTGTTAATAGAAGGTGGTGCAAGCTGTGAACCTGCACCAGCATAAGGAGTAGTGATGAAGAAACACACAAGGCAGACCTTCATAGAAATGTCCAGCACACAGCTGAACAACCAGGTGACATGATGGGTGAGCAGCTGGCTCACAAGTCAGGTGCAAAGAGTTATAGTAAATGGGGTGACATCAGGCTGGCAACCTGTCACTAATGGGCTTCCACAAGGCTCCATCCTTGGCCCAGTTCTTTTCAATGTCTTCATTGAAGACTTGGACATGGGACTCAAAGACATAAATTTGCTGAGAACACCAAACTGGGAAGAGCTGTCAACTCCTTTGAGGGCAAAGAGGCTTTGCAGAGGACATTGACAAATCAAGATAGATGGGCAATCACCAACTATATGACGTTTAACAAAGGTTAATGCCAGGTTCTGCACCTGGGATGGGGCAATCCTGGATGTATGGACAGCCTGGGGAATGAGAGGCTGGAGAGCAGCGCCACAGAAAGGGACCTGGGGGTCCTTGTCAGTGGAAAGTTGAATATGAGCCAGCAGTGCCCTGGCAGCCAGGAGGGCCAACCCTGTCCTGGGATGCATCAGGCACAGCATCACCAGCCAGGCAAGGGAGGGGATTGTCCTGCTCTGCTCTGCACTGGGCCAGCCTCGCCTTGAGTATCATGTGACATTTTGATCATCACAATATAAGAAAGATACAAACCTCTTAGAGAGTGTCCAAAGGAGGGCCATGAGAATGGTGAAAGGCCTTGAGAGAAAACTTTATTAGGAGCAGCTGAGAAGAAAGGAGGAGACTGAGATGAGACCTCAACATCCTCACAAGGAGCAATTACATACCTCTTCATTCTTGTGACCAGTGACAGAACTTGAGGAAACACCATGAAGCTGAGTGAGGAGTCTGTGTTAGATATCAAGAAAAGGTTTCTCATCCAGAGGGTTGCTGGGTACTGGAACAGGATCCCCAGGGAAGTGGTCACAGTACCAAACCTTCATTGGTTCAAGAAGTATTTGGACAATGCTCTCAGGCACATGGTGTGATTCTTGGGGTGTCCTGCACAGGGCCAGGAGTTGTACTCAATGATCCTGATGGGTCCCCTTGTTGCCTGTTTCCCAACCTGGAAATGAAACTCAGGATTTCCCTGTAGAAAGTTAGTGTTGTTTACCGTGTTCTGTGATTTGTCATGAAAACAAATATTGTGTAGGAGAATTATGCATTTAAAACAGAGGGATTGTCAAAAGCGCCAAAATCACCAGCTCGTCGAGGGAAGGCTGCGACAGCCAAACCAGCCAGCTGTTAACACACGACTTGATCCGCCGTGCCAGAACCGTAGAGCAGCTGCGATGCCGCTGCCTTAAGATCGACAGCGGAAAAGGCCTTACCGCCCCGAGCCCCCGGTCCCCCTCGTAAGGAGCTGCTCTCGGGAGCAGCCGGCCTGCCCGCCGCCACATCGCTCCCTGGCACTACACTGGTCCCTCCAGCCCCCGACCAAAGCGGGGGACACGCCGGGGCTGTTGCGAGCGGCGTGGCCCTCTCCCCTGCCCTTCCACCCGGGGGACGGAACTGCCCAGAGCAGGGCCGGAGCAGAACTGCCCTCTGCGACATGTCCCGGCAGGACCGGGCGATCCCGCCCCGTCGTTGAGTTGCACCATCCCGGTGCAGCGCAGCTCGGCGGCGGAAGGCGCGGTCGGGCCGCCGTCGGGGCACGCTGAGGCTCCTCAGGGGCCCAGGCTGCTCCTCCACAGTCGCTCCCCCGCAACTTCTCCGCAATGCCGGCCCGCGCTGGGCGTCCCGCCCGCACTCCCGGCCCCGCACTCCGGCTGCCGCCCCCGCCGCGCTGCCACGTCCCCGCCCAGCGGGGCCAATGGGCGGCGGCGCCAGGTGTGTGTTACCTGCACCACGTGGGCCGGGTGGGCAGGTGCTGCCGCGGCCCCGCGCAGAAAAGCTCGCAGCCATTGCGCCTTTCCCAGGAGTGCAGTTGGTGTCGGAGCGGCTACCCCACACCTCGGGGAAAAAGGGGTGGGAAAGAGGGGGAGCCGTGCACCTCCCCCACGCCAGGCCCTTGGGGAGTGAGGCGCAGCTGGGGGTTCTGCTGCTTGGGTCTTGCTTGGAAGCGCCTGGGGCAAGGAAAGTTTCCGGCTTCTTCCCTTCTCTTGCTTCTTCCTTTCCTTCTTTTTATCCTCTCTGCTGGCCCGGTGGCACGATGACGGCGTCTCCCGACTACCTGGTGATTCTCTTCGTGACCACGGCGGGCACCAACGGGGCAAGGTTGGGCTCAGACGAGCGAGAGCTGCTCCAGCTCCTGTGGAAAGTGGTCGACCTGAGGAGTAAGGAGGTATTTTCACTCAACGGGGGAGCACCCCGACCTGCTGCTCCCCTTGGCGCCTGCCACGCTGGGTGCGGGCAGGGTGGTCTTGGCGCTGGGCTGGTAGTGGGTGTCCCAGGCTGGAGCAAGCTGTGGTGGAGGGTAGGGGCTGGTGCTGCAGGCGGGGTCCTTCAGCCCAGAGAGCTGACTCACCCCCTCCTCTGCTTTCTCTGGAGCTGGGGCACCTGCATGACGTGCTGGTCCGGCCTGACCACACAGAACTGACGGCTGAGTGCCAGGAGATCACGCAAGTGGATGTGGAGAGCCTGGCACTGGCTCCACCGCTGGAGCAGGCATTGAGACAGGTGACGCCCCGTATCCGCTCGCTAAGTGCTGGTCTTTGGGAGCTCCCCCGTGGGGAAGAGGTGGTATCGTCATCTGCTTATCCCCACCATCAGAGCAGTGGAGCCTGTTATGGGAGCACCACAAACGTGTGGGCCAAGAAGCCTATAAGTGTAGGGCTTTTGGGGCCTTTCTGCCTTGTCTTTTCTTTATTTGCCTTGGGAAGAACTGAACCCCAAGAGAGGAAGATTAGGGTTAGCTATTTCCCTTCCCTGCTCTTCTCCCATGCTGGACCCTGAGTGAGTTTCAGCTGTGGGTGAGCCCTAATCAGTGTTGGATGAAGCTAGCTTTAGGTATCTCCTGTTAAGGCTCGTGCTCCTCAGTCCTGGGAAGATGATGGTACTGAGGCTCTAGATTAACAAGGAAGTGTGCGTGATTCCCATTGAGGGTAGGGCTGAAAGCCAACAGGCTTTCTTTCTGATATGTTTGAGTGCCCTGTCTAAAAAGCTGTTCTGCCCTGGTACCGCCTCAGGTCTCTGCAATCAGCTTTGTCTCATTGCAATGCTCTTGCAAATATCGAAAAGGATTTTCTTCTGTGGTGTGGGCTGTCTTTGTAGCCATATCTCGTTAGATGGGGGGAGAGGGGTGGGTTCCTTGTGAAGAAATTTATCATGGAAGTTAGCACGTGCTTAGCTAGTAAGGAACAAATCTACAGAAGTGAAGGAGTAGGCTTATTTGAAAAAGAATTCCAGCTCCGAGTTTGTGCTGCCCAGGAATAATGTTGCCAACTGATGACACTGCCTAGTGGTGCCACTCTGGTCTCTGTAACATGTATGTCTTTTCTTGTTCCTGCCAACAGTTTAATCAGTCCGTGAGCAATGAACTGAACATTGGTGTAGGTACTTCTTTCTGTTTCTGTACTGATGGACAGTTGCACATTAGGCAGGTTCTACACCCTGAAGCTTCCAAAAAGGTATGTAGTTGTGGCTTAAGTCTTACTCTTAATGTGCTTTTTATGATTTCTTGCAAAACAAATCAACTTCTCTCTAGTATGAAGGTACCTCCACACAACCATAGCGCAAACATTGCTTGCATGTAATGTGCTCAGGAGGCTAAAGAGCCTGTGTGGAAGGCATATACAGTGCCCTGTTCTTATGTGGACTTGAGATGCCTTTTAAAGTTAAATCAGAAGGAAGAGGCTCTTAAATGTTTGAGAAAGAAGCTACAAATACTGTCAATATGTTGCTCCTACAGGGTTAACAGGGGGGATGTGTGATTGTTGCTAATTAACCATCTTAACCATAAACTGGTTTTTGAAATTTTACATTCATGCCTAGTTATAGCAGCTTTCAATCTTTGGGTATTCAGTTGACACTCCAAGGGCGGTGTTCGTATTTGTAAGGAGCTGAACAGTAGTTTGAGGCAGGCTATGAGTGATGATTAGTCCTGTAGTCTGGAGTTTTCCATAACTTGAGTTGCCAAATCGCTAACAGTGTTGTGAAGTCCTGCCTGCTTTTCGTTAGTGATAGGGTTGCAGCAATATGTGAGTCTCTCTAGCTCTGAAATAACTGCCTCAATATTAATAACACATCATTTTGTGGTTTGGTATGAACATGCTGTGCTCTGTGACTGAGCTGCTTTTGCCCCTCTCATTGTACCTGACTTCTGTGCCCATCAATTTGTTGCCCCATCTTTGAAGGGACAATGCTGCAAGTCTGTGCTGTTACAAAAGTGATACTGAATGAGCTCGGTTGTAATACTTGTTTGTGCTTTAAGTATTGATAGCTTTGAAGGCTTAGAAGAGGAACAGTGAACGTTATTCACAGTGAAGAGACAGTCCTTATATATGTAACTTGCCTTCTATGACATATAACATGAGAAAATGTGGAAACAGGTTTTTAAAATACTTTCTTGTTGGCTAATAAAACTTGTCATCCATTTAAATTATGTGGATAAAAGAAGGGACACATCCTGCAATTATTTAAGTTGGTTTGATGTCAGGGATCTGTATCATAACAGGGTCACAGACAGGAATCAAGTCTTTAACAAAATCTTCTGTTGCTGTTTCATTAAGAATTGTTCCTTTGAAATTTGCTCTGTGCTGCCTGTAGATTAAGTAAACCAGATACTTATGAGACTTGTAATAGTTTTTTGATTAATATCCTAATGCAGGGATTGCAGTGTGGGATCACTAAAATTCAGATAGGCAGAAATCTCCAGGCTCTTGAGAAGATACTTATTTCTAAGATATCCATTCTGAAACCATCTAGCAACTCCTGGTACTCGGAGAATGAATTGGCATCAGTCATTCCAAAAGAACATAAATGAAATACAGAACTTTATTTCATATCAAGGAAGAATATAATGCTAGAACTAGAGCAGGAAATGTTGGCAAGCCCATATACATTTTCGTAAGTCTTTAAAGAGTATCGTTTGCCTAATACACCTGTCCATATGCTAAGATAATGTTCTAAAGTTCTCAAAGCAGAATTTCTTTTAGAGCCTAAACTGCTTTCCTTGGGCTCCCAAAATGTGCTTTCACATAGGCTGCTATCTGTTATAATGCCAACATGCTAACTAGTTGTTAAATCCCAGAAAGCCTTTATGTGTAGTCCTTGCAGGCAACAAACAGCCTAAAGGAATATGTAGTATTCTGTCTGGGTGAAGAGCTAACTGAAGGAGTAAGGGTTTGCATTGGTTTTAACAGCTGCCCCCAAGACTTCTCCATGTCTTCTCCTTTCCACTCCCACAAAAATTAAAAGCATGTGGTAGATGTAGTGGTGGGGCAAGAAAGATTTCATTGACTTCTAGTGGGCTGCATAACTTGCTTCTGGCTTTGTATGCTGCAGTTAAAGCAGTTAGCATGCATAGGCTGACAACTTCTGCACCACGCCAACCCCTCTTTTGCACAGTCAGATTTCTTTATTTGTAGGAAATAAATATTTGAAGTGTGACTATTGTCTGGAAACAGCCTTTTCTATAAACTGTCTGCTAGTCTTGCAAAATTTGCTTAATTCTGCAAATTGAACTGACTACCCTCTGGCTTTATACAGTTAAAATTCCAATCAAGAATTGATGATAAATGCTGCAATAGGAGGCATTTGCTCTGCTACATATGTATTGGATTTGAAGTTCTAGTAATATCAGTAAACGTTTCTCTGGCAGTGCAAAAGCACATTTCTCTTATTAAACAATATAAAGAGAAAGCTGTTTAAGCAAAAAAAGTTTATGAATGTACTTACGTGGCTAAGAAGGGCTATATGAGTTTCTCTGTAGCAATGATTGCTTGTGTTTCCTATCTATTCTAAAGATGTTGTTAGAAAGTTTGGTATCTATACACAAAGTAGGTTAAACACACCCTAACTGATGGTGGTTACTTTGCTCCTTTTACAGAATATTTTACTGCCTGAATGCTTCTACTCCTTTTTTGACTTGCGGAAAGAGTTCAAGAAGTGTTGCCCTGGCTCACCTGACCTTAGCAAGCTTGATGTTGCAGCCATGAGAGAATGTATCCTTTTAACAGTGATGGTGTCTGCTGCTGTTACAGTCTTGTCTGAATTTTAGGACAGAGGTGTATGAGTAATGCTTGCAACACATGTTTAGGGGTGGTATAACTTTAATGAGTGACTCGGAGCTGTACTTAGTTTTCTCACAAAGATAAAGATAAAAGCATATGAGGATGAATGCTTCCATGGAGAAAATCCTGTATTTCTTCTGTATGTTTTCTTTACTGTCTTGTTGTCTCTCTTTAAACTTCACAGTTTAATGTAACCAGCACATTTTTTTTTTTCAAATTGCTGTTGTGAATTGTAATATTAAAGGTTAGGGGTTGAGTTTTATAGCATCAGTTAGATTTATTTTATGAGTTACTTTTATTTTATTTTCGGCAAGAGCAAATTTTGGGAGACCACCTTAATTTTAAGGCGAGGAGATGGTTATTCTTGATGTGACCTTGTAGACAATCTCTAGCATAGGAATGAACCTAAGGCAGGGATGCTGTTGGAACATGTGGTATTCAGTCATGTAGAAGGTGCACATGCTACACCTCACAAGGTGAGGCTTGGCTGGCACCGGCACCAAGATGCAGTCAGTAGTATGCTTCTATTTTCAGTGATAAGGATGTCTAAAATTACTTTCTGAATAGTCTGACAGCCATCCTGTCTGTCTCTTTCCTAATGTGAGCCTGAGAGCTGAAGCTGTGATTTGGCTGTGCCTTCTTCCCTGGCAGTCCCCCTTCTTGCTGCAAGCTTCAGTCTTTATCCAAAAATATTCTCGGACAAAGAGCTACAGAGCTATTGAAGTAGTGGTCACGAGATTTAGGTATCAAGGAGGAATAAAGGATTTGAGATGTTTGTCTTTGGTATTGGTGGTTGATGTTGTTGCTATTGCTTTTAATAACTTTTCCTCCAACTTGCTTATTGTGTCCATGGAGTGGTTGCCATTAAGAGGTGATGTCTGTGGCTTCAGAAATTGTTGGACTTTTACTGCAGGATTAGTATTGCCTAGGTTTTGTATTTGTTGGGGGCATAAAATACACATATGGGGTGGATTTTTGCATTTAACCATTCTGGTCTGCTTTGTTATCTGCAAATTAAGATTAATCTCTGCTAGTGAAGGGGCAAAATTATTTCTCCCAGTATTCTGAAGGAAAGCAGTACAGTTAGAGTAGAATCTTTATGTAGAAAAGTGAAATAAATGCTGTGGTGCATTGAAACTGGATGATGGTGACTTCTTAAAATTATGGTGATAAACTTAATATGTTGTTTAGGGAATGCTTTCACATGATCTAGAGAAATTAAAGACAATGAGCTACTTCAGCTGTTTCAGAGAGTTGCGCTTGTTTTTCTCCTTATGTGAATATCTGGGGTATGCCTTTCCACTGTGGAAGGAGTTGCATGAATGTGGCTACCTGGTCAGCTAGGGCATGGTGATGAACTGTGTATTCTCTGCTTGCTGGGAGATGGGGGCAGACCACCCTGTGTTACCTGACTGTCAGGAAGTCTCTAAAGAGTCAGTGCTGCCTAAGAGTAGTTTTGGCAGTTGCCAATAATATTTTCTCCAAGTTCCTAGAAGCTTAGTCAGTCTATCTAAATGCACTCAGCTTGAGTCCAAGTTCTGGATAAGATATGCTTCTTAAGGTACATGAACCTAACTTCATTCTGGTCTTACATCTATTTTTGTGGCTTATTTCTTTTTGTAACTGCTGAGGCTCTTATTTGTAAACTTGCTGTGTTTATGCAGCATGGCTGAAATCAACTGTCTCTCCGCTGTTATTGTGTGAGATTGTGGGAGCAGAGGATGAAGAGACCAAAAAGGGTAAAATTATTTTTGTTCTTCTTTTATTGACAAATATGATAATTTTTTCCTCACCTTGCTGAAGTGTATCAACTTAATGTCCTCAGTGTCAGAAGCTGCATAGGTTAATTGCACTTGTAGACCATAGACATGTATGTGATGATTGGGATAAAAAGATTGTTTAAGCAGGTGCTGAGTCTAAACACTAGTTCCATAAATTGTGCAGAGTTGTTTAGTTTTTCTTTGTTCATGTATGGATATGCTGGGGTGTGGACACAAAAACAAATCAGGAATAAGTACAGTAGGTTGAAATGAAGCTGCAGATTAGTGCATAGTATCTGATCAAACTCTTTATTCTTGCAGAAAGTGCAGCTTTCTGCCACAGAAACTATAGTGTGCCAGATACATTAGCATTTGGTGAGGATGGAAGGTTTTAGTATGGAGCTAGGGTACTGACTAGATATTTGAGACCTGCATTTACAGACTGGTAGAAACATGAGTAGAATGGGTTTTTGAGTACATCCCTTCATTTACTTAACATCTCCATTTATATGTGTGTAGCCTGGTTGTAATCAGTAAGAGGAAACTTTTATGATTTGAAATAGGAGAAAGCTGGGTATTGATCTACAGTCATTGGAGTTATTAAAGTCTTCAAAAACTTTTGATGGGTCACTTTTGATCAAACAACAAATTACAGGCAAATGGGGAATGTACACTACTGTTCCCAGCTGTTAGGGGAGGTAACTTCTTACTGCACAGTCAATTCCAGATTCATATTTCAGTATACAGCACATGGGATTGTAGGGGCTTGGCTGTGTATTTCTTGCAGACATTGCAAGCACAATCTTGTAAAAGAGCATAGAGATAACAGACTGAATAACTGGCTGGGTTTTTCTTCCTTTAGAGAGCACTTTGTGGACTTACTCTCTCAGGAGGCTACTTGGAATTTGTGTATAGCAATGAAACCATGCCAAACTTAAGAACTTGGATGAAAGCTTTACAAATCTTTACTCCCAACCCCTGCAAGAAGTTATACATTTCACCAAAACATTAATTTCTTTTATCTAAAAGTAAAGCAATGTTTAAAATGCTATGAAATTCAAGGGACAAAGGCAGAACTGAGACCAGTTGTAATTAACTCTTGAGTATTACTGCTGCCTAACTCATGGTGTCAAAACAGTTCTTACGTATGAGACAGTTTTCTGGCAGACTTTGTCAGAATTGTGTAAGTGTAATGACAGGAGGACAATTATGAGAAATTTTGAGTAACAGAACTTGAGGGAAGTGATCATGTTCCAGCAGAGAAAAGGACTTGGGTCTGTTGACATTTTTTTTTTTTTAATGTGTAAGCATACAAAAGGAGCAGGGTTGTTCTTGCACCCTCTGTACCTCCCATACTTGCTACACTTCTTGATTTGCAAAGCTTGCTGAGCCAGTTTTCACCCTGTGAGTGCCTTCAGGGTGGAGTGAATAAAGCTTGCATGACTATTCCTATTAGATTTGCAGAAGACTCGTCCTTTGCCTCGAGATTGGGTGTGCAGAAGCTATTAAATGGCAAATAGCTCTTGCTTCCTCCAGTACTTGGTTTGTTCCACTCACTTCTGAACTGGATGTGTGAGGATAACTTCTTACTAGGAATATCTGCCAGTGTTGTCAGTAGAAACTCAGGGGTACTCCAGAACAGCTTGTTTAATGTGCTGGATATTGTACTACTGAAACTTGATTTGTTGGGGTTTTATTGTTTGGTTTGTTTTTGTTTTTACCTGGGTGTCTTGGAAACAATAATGTGGAGCACAATTATAACCAATAGTGCTTAACTCTGGCAATAAAATGCCCCTAATTGGATATTAGGTGAGAATCTTGGATATTGCTATTTGTATTTCCTGTGGTAGTACTCTGGAACTGGGTAATATTATATTACCTTTATGCAAAGCATTATGTAGAAAGATGCAATCTTCTGTCTAAAGGGACTTAAATAAGAAACAGAACAAAGGGGAAAGTATCAATGCAGACAACAATTGCAATGCTGTTTCATGTCATCTCGGATCAAGTTAGTTATTCAGTGAGAAAGGAGTTAAGAGACAATGGGAAGGAGTAAGTCTTGGAGGACACTGGCAGTGAGCTGTGGTGGAAATCATTTGGAAATTTCTTCCATGTTAGAGAGGCCTCCCTAATATAGAATGTACCTTTCCTTCCTGCTCCCTTTAACTTGTGAGTATTGCAGGAGGTGGTACCACAGCTGCACAACAAGATTAAATAGTTCCTTGTTTCCCATCCTGCCTTATTGGGGACTGTCTTTGGCTTATTGCTTAATTAAGAATATACTTTTGGATACTACTGCATATAGTAGCTCTGGACAGCCATGTCTGGTTTCTAATGCTTCTTCAAATGTGAACTTGGATTATCTCCTGTAATTGTCTTTCTCCAATTGCCCAGGAGAAGTATCCTTTAAATGTAATTGTACAGAAACGTGTGGTCTCCTATCCCTTCACAGAACAAGGAATGAGATTTATAAACTGTCTACACAGAGGCAGACACCTATGGACAGAGGCACTAGAGATTATGGTACTTGGGGAAAAATATAAATGAAACAATGTTGTTCATTAGAATACAGATTTTTATTTGGCATGTTCTTTCAACATGCAGAAAATGATCCATTTTCTTCTCCAATCTTGCCTAAAAGCTATGCTTCTAAGGAATCAGAGGTGAAGGTGTGAGGTTGCGTCTGCAATAATGATCACGATTTACTTCCTCCCCTCCACTGTGTTTGTATTTCTCTAGAGTTTGGCACAACTGTCTGCCTGTGTCTGATAACTGGTACCAGCTTCTGTTGGCACTAGAGCATTTCCAGGAATTGCTTGTCCTGTGGATCAGTGTCTTCGGGAAAACTGAAAAAAATTATTGTGGGGTGGGGTCCTTGTTTGTTTTCCTTGTGTGATGGCGTCTCTTCAAATTCCTGTTCCTTTCATGTTGCTGCATTCCCAACTCTGAATGCTGATCACTTGTAGGGTTCTTTTGCTCAACACAAAGGAAATATTGAAATGTCATTTCAGTTCTGACAGCAGTCTAAGAGCCAAGCACATGTGTATGCATGTTCCCTGCTGGAATAGCTATTAAAACTCCTGCCGCATTTCTCTTGACCTTTGACAGAGGAAATGCATTTCCAAAATCTTCAAAAATTTGGTCAAGCAAGACCAGGGTTCCAGCACCTGCACCATCAGCAGCCTCTGGTTTCCTGTATGAACAGCAGAGGCTCTGCACAAGGCCAGTGTTAAGTGCTACATGGAGAACAGTGTCAGGAAAGGGAGGAGGAGCGCTACTCTGCTCTGATACACAAGGTGCCCAGAAACGTCTGTGTGGTGCTGCTAAGGCACCGTCTCTGTCAGAGTCTGTTTGTGGGTTATTTTCTTTCCCCTCCTTTCTGGGGGCAGAAGAGGTAGTGAGATTGAGCTTGTTTAAAGCTTGGGAAGAGAGACTGTGATTAAGAAATTTTTTGTTGTTATAAATAGTTGTAATCTCTTAAACCACGCTTTGGAGTTGCTCAGGCTTTTTGGCTTGGTTTTTAAGAAAACTATTTATTGTTCACAGTACTTTACCCCAGCAAATGTACTAGGAGGGGGAGGGTAAAGGCAATGACTAGGAATCTATTTATAGTCAAGCAGTTGGAAGGGAGGAATCACTGGTTTAAGTATTCTGGTTTTTAAACGAAGATAGAAGAACATTTGAAGCTTAAGTGAGCTAAGACTAAGCATCATCCTCTCACATTCCATATTGTAATGCGCACTAAAAACCAACAAAGCTTCAAAATCAAATTAGCCTGAAGTGTATTTTATTGGCACAGCAGCTTTCCTTTCCTTGCTGTGGAAGAGGAATGCATTAATTCAGTTCAAGTTATTTTTCATTTTGCAACAAGACAACTGTTAAACATTTTTTTTTAAAATCTGTTTCTGTAGGGTGACTTGCTGTCATCCTAAAAATAATAGAGGAAGACATTGTCTCACAAAGAAATTTGTGCTGGCTCACCTGTTGATGAGATGATATAACAAATCTGGTATGAGATATTTGTTTCTAACAGAAACTGTTCTGTTCCCTGCACTTCATGTAGGCATCTGACAACTCAATGTTGCTCAGCTGTAGGTGGAGAAAGTAGGTTTCCTCTAAAGAAGAAAGCTATCTTGGATTATGAAGCAACCTTTGAAAATCATAAAGCAGGCTTTGGAGCATTTGAAATGTTTTTAATGTAGTCTGGGGGTCATGTGGGCAAATAATTGCTGCCCTTGGCTGTTTTCAATGTGTTGCCTTACTGTACCTCCATGTCAGGCTGTGTCTTGTTTTAGAAATTCTCTTTTTTGCTCTGATGTCTTGATGCAAACTGGTAAGGCAAGTAAAAAGTACAACACTTTTCCCCAGATTTCCTTATTTTTTGTTCTGTTTTTGTGTACATTTTTTACCCTTCAGTCCTCAAAGAAAATTAACTGAAAAAGACCTTTTTAAAATTTGCTTCATAAATAATGGAGTAGAATTGCAAATAATCTTGCAGTCTTGTAGCCTGGTGTTAGAGAGGGACAAATATGATGGAAAGCAGGAGATACCATAGTAAACTGTTTACAGTTGTCCTGACAAAAGATGGTTTATGCAACTTAAATCAGCCTCCCTTTATGAAGGTGGGGGGTTCTAAGGTCTCTATTGCAGTCATTTCCAAAATCCTTTGGACTGAAGCTATGGATTGTGGGGCTCTGTTTTGCCTCTTGTCAAAACACATGACTCACAGACTCTAACCAGGTTATCGGAATGCTTCTGTGCAACAGCGCAAAACTTGGGTTGCAACTTCTAACAGGCAATGTTTAGACAAGGTGTCACTTAGGAATTTTGTTGTAGTGGTAAGATACTTACTCTCCTTTGGGATTTACCTGGTCAAAAAGCATGTGGTATACCTCTCAATTTCTGGAGCTTTTAGTTTGTTTGCTTCTTCTCCCGCTCCAAATCTTCCCCTGAAGATTAAAGAGGATGTTAATTAAAGAGGACAGGGCTCCAGTCTCTTCCATATGCACCAGTATATCTGTCAAACATACATATTAAATACATGTCTTTATTCTGGGGTATCATGTCCCCAGACACTTTCTTTAGTGACCTTACACTCCCATGGGTGGCAATAATTAAAGACTAAGAACAGTTAATGTACCCCAGCAGGAAGATGGATTAAATCTTCCCCTGAGAAGCAACATACAAGGACAACATGAAAAGTGTGTTGCTGTAGCAGGAAACCAATTAGACATCTATTTGGTGATGATTGACTTAACTCCAGCAAAAAGATTTAAATCTTGACAAGAACAGTGCAGCACTTCCCTATGGAGCCTCTCAAGTTGAAGATATGGGCAATATTATTTTAACATTAATATCTGAACCATGCAGTAAGTGATTATGATGAATGAATTTTCTTTGTTCCTTCTTTGGTTTTGCTGCCTGTCCTGTACATTGACAAAATAGGAAGTAACTTGTGCTGTATTTCCTAGATCACCGATTTTCAGATCCAGAAAGGGTGAACTACAAATTTGAAAGTGGGCCTTGGTAAGTACTTCCTCCCTTTTCTTGTTGCACATCTTTCAACCCCCACCACTTTTTGTTTGTTTAGATCAGCTGTACTTCTTTCTTCCTAATTTGCCAATAGCTGTTACTATTATATTTATTTACCTTTCCACTGCTATGGGAATCAATTAGATCCTTCAAGTGGGAAAGGGAACAGACAATCTATGATCAGATGGAAGCCTGTTTTCTTATTAGGCTTCGGTGTTGCCTGTTAGCTGCTGAGAGCTCTGTGTTCTGCTAATAAGTGCTTATAATGGGTACTAAGTGTGTTGTGCTACTAACAAAGAATGTAAGCAGTGTTTCAGAAATAACCCAATTAGTTACTAACGCATGCACTCTTCCTGCAATTTACTACACAGGTACTGCCTATACATCTTTTTTTTTCAATAGGGAAGAAACACTTTCGTAAAGATAATGTGCCAGAAATACTGTGCTACCAGTCAGTTGTTTAATATATGGTGATTTTCATTCCCAAATATCTTTTAAACATAAAGCTTTATCTGCTTTTGATGCCCGCTTTGTTGCTTGGGTAGTTGGTTTTGGGTTTTTTTTTTAGTCCAACTGTGTTATTTCTGTGTGTAAATACAGATTTTTCTCAGTAGTTTTCTTAATGATTTCTCTGCAATATCACAAGATACTAGTGTTAAACTGACATTATTTATATTGCCATCTTGCACACTTCCTTCTTTCAGATTAAGGATCTGTTGGTAGATGATGCTTATACTTTTGAGTCAAAAAGTGAAAAAAAAAATGCAACATTGGCAGAAATTAGCTAAGGGGCTATATTTAGCCTTGTTCTAAGCTTTTTCCTTTTCACTAACAAAATTTTCGGATTAAATGGAAGATTCACATTTTATTTGAGATAATGAGAAGTACAGAACTAGGAGGCAAGAGGGAACAGTTTGAGACAGACAGCTACAGCAATGCCATCTGAGAAATTAAAATGCGAGTGAGAAACATGACCCACCAGGCATACCACAGCCCTTTTGTACGAGGGATTCCTCTACTACTAAACAACATTTCATCTACTTAATCACTTAAGCTCTTTCGTGCAAAAAAGCTGTTCCTGTGATAGCCAGAAAGGCAGACTTGGGTAGCTGTGAGTGTTTTGTTGAACTTGACACTTTCAAGAAGTAAGAAAACAAAAGGGACTTTAGTAATGACCAATTAAACCTGGCTTTCTGTGGCTATGCTATTCCCGTGCTAAGCAGCCAATATAGCCTTTAGCTATGTTATTCTCTAGTAGCACAGTGATGGCCTGAACCAGCAATGTTAATGCTTGACTCTTCAGGCCAGAGTCCTGTCTGTGCTGAGTACAGCCCTGAATAGACTTGGTTTTGGTTTGTGACTGGTTCTTATACACTATCACAGTAAAAATAAAAATCATTAATTTCTGTTAAATCTAATTGTTCTGTTTCAATTTCTACCTAGCTATATTAGAACTGCAGGTACTTGATTTTTATACCAGCAATCCTCTTCAGATAATGGAGAAGAACAAATGATGTCAGGAAAGGGACGTTAATTTGGAATATGATTGAAGAGATAAGCAAATGTGGTAAAGCAGGAAAGGAGCAACTTGACAAAGCAAACTCTCCCTTGGAGAGACTTGTACAGTGGCTTTCAATTGTTGGTGGCACTTGGGCCTCACTGCCTTGGCATTGCCATCCAGCAGACATAGAGCAGGGACAGAAGCCTTTTCCTGGAGTATAAATGACAAGCAGACAGGTTGGTATATGGCAGATACTAGAGGCAGGTGTCTCTGCATTACTACTTTTTTCTGTGCCTGCAGCAGCAAGATGGAACTTGTGGATGACAATGCTGTTATCAGAGCACGAGGATTGCCGTGGCAGTCATCTGACCAGGATATAGCAAGATTCTTCAAAGGTCTAAATATTGCCAAGTTAGTAGTGAAGAATTTACTTGTACATTTGTAGCTCTTCAGCTGTGTAGGTCATGGTGTTTCATCTCTTGATTTAAATCTTGCAGAGGAGGTGCTGCGCTCTGTCTCAATGCCCAGGGTAGGAGGAATGGGGAGGCTCTTGTGAGGTTCGTAAGCGAAGAGCATAGAGATCTAGCACTACAAAGGCACAAGCATCACATGGGGAACAGATACATAGAGGTGGGTGACATGGTGGGCTTTGCATTTGTTTCAAAAAGAGGATTTCAAATTACATGTCAATCATGTGTCCCTTTTTTTTTTTTCCTTTAGGTGTACAAGGCAACAGGTGAAGACTTCCTTAAAATTGCAGGAGGTAATTTTTGGGGATAAAAAGGGATGGTTTGTTCTGTCAGCATCTCTTAACTTTTGGCTGCAAACTGATCCTGTTGAATGTGGCCCTTTTTTCTGTCTTTGAACAAGAAGTTGGCTGGTGTATTGATTATTATGTATTCTGCTGGCAGCAGTCCAAGATGTTCCATGATTCATCGGTCTGCCTCTTCCACATTCTTGCCATTTTCAAGCATCCTGTCAATCAGGATTTGATTGGGCAAAGTGATCTTGTATATGAACTTAATTTGTTGATCATCTTAATGATAGTGGGAATCTAAATGCTATTGATTGCTGAAAAAATGAAATCGGAGTAGTTTTTCAAAACAGTGTAACTGCTGTTGCTGTGGAGGCTTGCACATAAGAACAGATATCACAGCATAAATATAAGGGATTTATGGAACTGATTTTTTCCAGATCAAATCTTTGCCTCAGACTTAATGGGGAGGATTTAGGGGAAATGCTTATTTAAAGGGAATCTTGAAATATTTGGTGATAATTGAAAGGCTGCAAAATTTGCTCTTCAAACTCTGTCTTGATCTCTTTTCCTTCCCTTTTGTCTGCAAGTGTACAAAATTTAAGAACCAATAAGCTGTTTTATCTGCAATACTACTGTAAGTTCCTCATTGCTTCCTGACAGAGATTTGGGCTGAGGTTTGTAAGTGACTAACTGGAGATCTGAGGTTGAGGCTTCAGAGTGGGAGATGGCTGTTAAGCTGTCAACTACAAAGCTAACAGATAGGTCTGGAAGTAGTTATACCATGCAAAGTAAAGACATTGCTCAGTGACATTCTTGAAGGATGGTGTGTCTGGTACAACCAAACTTTGCAGAGTGAGAGAGCTGTAAGTGAAAGGATTGCATTAAGATATTAATTTGGTTAGCAGCTACCTTTTAATAAAGTAGTGTTATTAGCATCACTGGTCTTCTAAAGGTACTGAAAGTAGAATTGTCAGACTTTGACAGTTCTGTTGGGATAGATGAAATCCCTGAGCTGTTTTCAATCTGCTCTTCCAGCTTTCTTTCCCAGCACAATGATCTGGGTAATTGGTTGACATATGTTATGGCTCCAGAGCATGCCAGAGGTATTCCACAGTTAGATGAGGTGCACAATAGCAGAGGCCCTGCTCACACAAGAGATTGACAGATTGTGCTTTCCTTGAGCTTTGAATGTTGCAAGTACTTCCTATTTTTCCTTTGAATAAAGATCAAGCCCCTCTAAATGATGGGGTAACATTACTGTACTTTAATGGGAGGTGTCATATACAATATATCTAGTTTATCAGAGGGTCATCTTTCCTGACTTTAGAGGCAAATATTGCTCTATATGGCTATGCTAATGACATTTATATACTAGACTGAAGTGTTTCTGTACTTTTTCATGTTAAAGGTACTTCCAATGAGGTTGCACAGTTCTTGTCAAAAGAAAACCAAGTGATTGTCAGGATGCGAGGTCTTCCTTTCAATGTAACAACAGAAGAAGTGCTGACTTTCTTTGGCCAGCACTGCCCTGTAACAGGAGGAAAGGAAGGAGTCCTGTTTGTCACTTACCCTGACAGCAGACCAACAGGAGATGCCTTTGTCTTGTTTGCTTGTGAGGAATATGCACAAAATGCACTGAAAAAGCACAAGGATTTGTTGGGGAAAAGGTACATTGAACTCTTCCGGAGCACTGCAGCGGAAGTTCAGCAGGTAGGGGCAAACCTTTCAAATGCTGCCTTTTTGTAGTCCAAACTTGTATGCAGGTGGTAGAAGAAGCAAATAATGCTGGGCCTTGACTTGAAAGCTTCTTTTACCTTTTCTCACTCTTGACTCTTGCTAGAATGAGTGTTGTCTGAATTTCTGTGAGACTTTGGTCCCTTGAAATGTAAGATATTATGGTATAGGGATGTTCTCAATCATATAGAAACCTTTGGGGTTTTGACTTCCAATACCTTTGTAAAATGTGGATGTGGGCCTTGTGCTTTACACTATATATTTTGAATTTGACTAAGTCCAATTATGATCTATTCAGGAGTGTTTAGCAACAAATCTTGAGCTAAAAGATTTATCTTTAGTCAGTGACGCAAAAAACCAAAGCCTTTTGATGTAGTCCTCTCCAGTGTAATGTATCTGAAGAATTCTACAAATTGTCTTAAGGCCAGATCTCTGCCATCTTCTGCAAGCAGAGGCTACCTAACAGAGGGTGGCAGGAGTTTGAAACTGCTGAGTCTGGCTTAACAGGGCTTGGTGGACCAGTAATTGCAGCCAAGGTGTCAGGGAAAGGGAGGAGAGCTGAATGGACTATTTAAGTCTCCAAAAATATTTGCAGAGCTTCAGTTGAGGTAAATAACTTCTAGATATGATTCTAAAAGGTATTATGTATGATGCAAATTGTAGCCATGCCATTGTATCCAAGAAATTTTGCAGCTCTGTTCTCCCTAATATGTAGAAATTTCAGTGCTTTGTTTAGAAGATGACATTAGTGATTAGAAGATAGAGCTACAGTGCTCACTAGTCATTCAATTTTTATCAAGTACTCTCATGTTTCTTTGTTTAGTAAAACCTTCTGATAGCTGTATAAATGCAAATAAATATTAATCTTGCTCAGAGAGAGTTCAGGAGTAGTGATTGAAAATTCAGGCAACTTTTCACCAGACAGGGTTTTTGCTGTTAAAATTATTAACAAGAAATCTCAGTGTGCCATGGATGCTGTTACTTGGGAATGCTCCTTATGTTTCTGGAATGGACTATGGCGGGCACAGTTAGGGATGTGTGGTAGTGAAATGCGCTTCTAGTTCCCAAACTCTCCTAAAGATTTGCAGAGGAGATATTTTTGTGTAGAAGTGTTATCATGACTCTGTAGATGGTAGTATGTTTTAGGATAGTTTCACAATAAAAATACTGTAGATATACAGGTTTCATGTTTTAAGATCTCTGAGACTTGCATTATCTGTTCAAGTAAATTTCCCAAAACAAAACTGTTTTTCAAGAAAAAAAAAACCCTATTTTTTTTTAAAACAATAACATTACTATTTATCGTAGAGTGACTATAGAAGTATGCTAGATTCTGAGCTTAAACCACGACACAATGCTTAGAAATAAGATATTTTACAGTTAATATTTGTATCTAGCTCATTTGTATCTTAAAATACTCCCAGAGTGAAAGCAGATGGCATTGGGATTATGTTTACTCCTTCTAAGTTGAAGAATCAGTAAGAAGGCTTCTGTAATTGTTTTTGTTTTGCACAGGTGCTGAACAGGTACTCTTCCACACCTCTCATTCCTCTCCCAAGACCTCCAATCCTTCCAGTATTACCTCAACAATTTGTGCCTCCCACTACCATCAGAGACTGCATACGTTTGCGTGGTCTTCCCTATGCTGCTACTATAGAGGACATTCTGGAGTTCCTGGGAGAGTTTTCTACAGATATTCGGACCCATGGAGTTCACATGGTACTAAATCACCAGGTTGGTAGGCAACATGTTTCTAGACACTCTGCCAAATGCTTGTATGTATGAATACAGTTCTGATGATGATATCCAGGAAGGAAGGACCTTTGGGACTAGCAGTAATTGTATTAATTGCTTCCAATTCTCTTCTAAAAGTGTACTGGCAATAGATGACTTGAACCCTGCTGTGCCAGCTGCTGCATTTGCTGTAGAGTGGTTTCTTTACTGAGACCCATGTGCTGAAAGCCGAGCCAATTTTGGAGAGGTTGGTGCTCCCAGAGCAGCAGCAATGATCCTGACCTGTAGGAGGCTTGAGCTGGAGAGTCTTGCTCAACAGTGGGCATGATTCCTCTTGTACCTGGTGAGAAGTGCCATCAAAACACAAGTGTGGGCAATGTTGGCTCTCAAAGGAGTGGCTTGTCCCTGCCTTGCTGAGCAATGTGCCACAAGTATATTTGAGGACAAATGTGACTGCAGCCTTCTAGAGACAGGAATTCCTATGTCAAAAGTCAGAAACTGAAGCTTTGGGTTTCCTATGTTCTTGCTTTCTTTAAACAGTCACAGCTAAGCACCAAGATTTACAGCTCATTGGTGTGTATAAAGTGTCACATCTTTGCCATTGTTTCTGGAAGCAGTTTCTAAGAAAACCTTCTAGACAAAGGATTGTGAATTCTTGTTATCTTTATCTTCCTATTCTTGTGGCTTTAGGAGGAGTCCTTTCACTCCATGGAGATGCTCTGAATGGTTCAATGGAGCAAACTGATTATAAAATGTATAAAAATGATAGTTCTACAATTGTTTTAGCTTAGGCTTAATGTCAACCAAAACTAAAAAATACTATCTGGTCCCAAGCAGGATTTCTGTGTTTCAGGAAGATGGGGATGGAGAAGGGACTGTAGTCATTTTGGTACCTGTCTATCTAAAGACATTCCTGTGTCTGTGGGAACTTGACCTAGACAAGGCTAGAAAACTGTAATGAATGTGTAGTGCTGGGAGAGACTAAGAAAAGTGCAGATATTGAAGCACAAGTAATGATTTACAGTAGTATCAGCCCTTGACAGCTCTAATGAAAGAACCTGGATGAAGAAATTGGTGTGTCCATAACCCTAAGGGCTGTCTGCTACCCTTGCCCTGCCCAAAACTATCAGACTTTTTTCTACCCAAATGCTGCTTTTGCCTGACTACTAGATTATCTTTCTCCAAGTTCCCAGGTTTAAACCCTATAATCATGAACAACCGTGTAAAGGATGGTGATAATGTTGTCCCCTCCAAAATGAGAACTAGCCAAGAACTTGAGTTAGAGGTGACTTCAGTTTTTTCTTTCTAGTTTTGGCTACTTGAAATCAGCAGCTGCATGTGGCTAAAATAACTTCTCCCAGTGGTGTATCCTGCTCATTTACAGATATAAAGATGTTTTGTTTTTTTTTTTTTTCTCTCTGCAAGCTCATACCAAATGTTAGGCTAGTTGGTACTCTACTTAAACATCCCAGCCCATGTTGGTCTTCAGAAAATAAAATTTAAAACAAATTGTTTAGCAATGAGCACTTGACTGTATATGTCCTTGAATTTTAAAATCACAGGTAATAAATAGGGACTAGATCTTCCAATTCTGCATTCATAGTAAATTTGTAAGAGCAGGTCTTAAAGTACCAAAGTACTCCTGAATTACAGTCTCCCCATAGGTGTCTTTTTTTTTTTTTTTTTAGATATAGATGTAAACAGTTATAATGTAGCTTAATCAAAACATGTGAATAAATACAATCAAATTATCACAAGTGGGGAAAAACTTCAGAGAGGAGAGCTTAAACGTGCTGATGAGTGCTCAAGATGAGTTGACTGTACTTGACTTTGTAGATTAATGTATTTGACTGAAGAGACTTCCTGTAACAGCACAAATTATTGCTATGCTGCTCCTTCATAGAACCTACAGAGACATTTTTTTTTGTCTCACTTGTTTGTAAGGGACGTCCATCGGGAGATGCTTTCATTCAGATGAAATCTGCAGATCGAGCTTTTCTGGCTGCACAGAAGTGTCATAAGAAGACTATGAAGGACAGATATGTTGAAGTCTTTCAATGTTCTGCTGAAGAGATGAACTTTGTATTAATGGGGGGCACTTTAAATCGAAATGGCTTGTCCCCACCACCATGTAAGTTACCATGTAAGTTTTCCTTGGCTCTTGCCACTATGCTCTACACTGTGTGTGGGTAGGTATTGGAGCTGCTTTGCTGACTCTGATCCTGGTTCTTGGATAGCATTGTGAGATGGGGGTGTTAAAATAAGGTCCTTTGTCTTAAATTGTCACCAGCTTGCAGTCATTATTTTTCCCTTTGGTTGTGAATCATTATGACTGAAGAACTACTTCTGCTTTTCCAGTGAGTGATTATTCCAAAAAGTAATTTCTAAACCCTGCCTAGACATTAAAGAACTGTTTTGTATTTTAACTGATCTGTACTTATATTTTTTCATCATGGCTCACAATGTATGTCAAGTATGTCCAAGTACATTTTACTTATGTCAATTAAAAGACCTTGCCTTATTACTTCCGAAACTTAATTTGAGAAGCTATAGGTAATGCTCCCCTTTGAGACTTAATCATGTGTTCTGCCTTTTGAACTTCAACTGACTGAATTCTTCCTTTGCTTTTTGCTATTCTTATGAAATGGAGGTTGGCTTTGTGGGAATGAAATACACCTGGCTTCTGCCTCATAATTGCAGAATCTGTATTTCCTTTTAAATTTTGATTCTTGGAACTACTAGGATGAACACTGACTTCTACACAAACTTTTGGGAGAAATACTTCAGGAGCTTAAGGGTCAACTTGCTAAGTATCTGTGTCACATAAATCTGAGCCTATGGGAAAAATAATACTTTGCTTCCAAAATCATAAATGGCAAGGTAGTCAAGTAGTAGCCTTTCTCTGTGTCTCTCTATGAAAGTGGTTTTTTTTGTTGCTGTTTTTTTTTTGTTTTTTTGGTGGGTTTTTTTTTTGTTTTTTCTGTTGTTGTTGTAGATCTTTTAAGAAGCATCCTCTACATGCTAGTCAGAGCTGCCAAGACAGCAGCAAACTTCCTTTGGAGCGGTTTGAGTGCAAATAGACCTTCAGCTAATCCTTGGGAGAGTTTTCTTCTTTCAGCAAAAGTATCTTGAGCAGGCATCAGCAGTAGATAGTCCTATGTATGGTGGCTGTTCCAGATGGGTTGGAACCTGAGAGTTCCTAGGAGAGGTTCTTGGGCAGAGTCACAAGCTTTGGAAATACACTTATAATTTCCAATTACATATGTCTGTGATGTATTCCTCAGACAAGGCCTTTTGGCCCTGTCATTCCACATTTTGTAGTACAGTGAGATGTTGGCTGTAAGTCTGAATAGTAAAATTAAAGTCTTACTTAATCTAAAGCTTTGTTCCTTTCTATGCCAGTGGGGAGGAGAAGAGGAAAGCAAAGGAGGAGGGTGAACTCTCATCAGTGAGAATTCATTTAGGGCCCGACATCTTGTTGAAATTGTACAAAAGTACACTTTTGGTTTTTTGGTTTTTTTTTTTTTTCATTTAGTTGTAACACTTCAAGCTGAAAAGTCATGACTTTTCTTACTCTGCTGTTGATTAATTAAGGGATAAGCAGTACCAGGATGACAGTCTTCTCTCTTTTGTTGAATGTTAACCAGATCTTTGTCATGGAAATTTTCTTCTTACTGTGCAGAAGTCTTGTAGTTCTTGAATGCAGACTTCATTAAAATCTGAGCCTAGACAAACAAAACTGACCTATGTATCAGAAAGGGACCCTATTCCCAGAGCAAGAGGTGGTTTTTTGTGTATTGTTGACTTTACTGTTGACTGGAGGCTGGGTGTAACACTTTGTAGTCACACTGGTGGTGTGAGCCACTGTTGTGGCTCATATTTTCTGTGGTGAACAAGGATGAGAAGATTGTGAAGGTTCCTGACGTACTGTGGAGTTGCGTGTGTGCATGTATTAGCTCTGGAATTTCAGAGGTCCTAATCTATTTTCCGTTTGCTCCCTATAGGCATTTCACCCCCTGCCTATTCCTTTCCGGCTCCTGCTGCAGTAGTGCCAACAGAAGCTGCTCTGTATCAGCCATCCATGCTTCTGAACCCACGAACACTCCAGCCCTCCACAGCCTACTACCCTGCTGGGGCTCAGCTCTTCATGAACTACACAGCATATTACCCCAGATAAAGCGAGGAGAACCCAAGCAGCAACAAAGTCTTTTTTTTTAATTGTCCCAGAAAATGCACAAAGCTCACAAAAGAACATTGTCTGCTCTGCTAAGGACTTTTGATACTACGAACAGCTTGTTTGGTATCTTGTTCAGGGAAATAATTTCAGGATAACTAGGGATTTTCCTAGTTTCAGGGTATTGTTGGTAGCAGTGTTTGGGGGGCAGTGGAGCTAAGTTAGTGTGTTTGGTTGTTTTTTTTTTAACCAGGACACACATTTGAGATTTTTTTATTATTTTTGTTTCACCTAACATTCCTCTCAAACGTACTAGTTTGCTTTGTTATGCCCTCAGTGGGAATTGACATGTGCAGTACTCTTTCCCACATCCATAAAGGAGCCTTTGGCCTCTCTTTAGCATGGGTGGACTGGGGTTTGCCTTAGCAACTTCTGAAATACTGCCTCTTTGTGTTTGTAACAAAGTAACTTTTGACCTTTATGATGAAAACTGTTTACTTCTATGACTAAGTATTGTACTGAATGCATATGTAAAGTATATAGAGGCATGTATTCTTCCTGTCCTCATAAACACCTCCCAAAAAGGGCTTTTGGTTCTTCTGGATGTATTAGCCATCTGCTACAGAACAAAATCTCTGGATACCTGTTGCCCTCTGCAGTCATGAGGCCTTGGAAGGAGCCATGTTCCCTTCAAGCCATAAACCATTTCTTGTCTATTAGGAAATCTGCTAAACAACTCAAGTTTTTTTTTGTTTTGTTTTTGTTTGTTTGTTTTGGGTTTTTTTTGTGGTTTTTTGTTGTTTTTTTTTTTATCTCTGCAGCAGGGACCAAATAGCTACTTAGGAAGCTGATAAGCAATATGAGCACTTCAATACCTGTAAGATAACAAAGGTTTTCTTATTACTTTACCTATATGTCTGTGAACTGACTGTTGTGGTTTTTTATTAAAATGTTTCCTTCACTCATGTGTTACTTTCTATAATGCCTTCAATATCTGTTTTATGGTTATGATATTACTAAACTCAGCCTTGTTAATGTAAGATTAAGAAAAATAAAATTCCAAACTTGCACTGGCAATACAAAACAAGGTTCTCAATAACAGTTCTATGCTTCATGAAAACATAATAGCAGTAATAGTCTGTGGTTACTGACATGTTTTACTTCTTATGGTAAGAACAGAGTGGCCACTGCAGGCTAAATGTCAGGCCCTGGTGATTTCTCATTGAATGAGTTCCCACGCGAGTCTCATCACTGGCTGCTTGGGCTGTGGTCATCTATGTTGATCACAGACTGATCAATCCCAAGCCCCAAAATATCCTTTTTATGTTCTTGTCTAACTGGCAGTTGTTCACTGTTTTTAGGAAACCATTATTACATAGCTTCTCTGCCAATTACAAATACTGCCCATTTAAAGAAAATAAGGAAAACTTTCTGGACCAAGTTGGCTTCTTTGTTGTGAGATTTGGTGTTTAGGTATTGCTTTTCCATTCAGAATGCTTGATCTACAGACAATACTCCAATAGATGTAGTGGTTCTTTGTAGAGGATGTTTTTGGCTTGGTTTTTTGTTTTTTTTTTTTTTTTTTTTTTTTTTTTTTTTTTTTTTTTTTTTTTTTTTTTTTTTTTTTTTTTAAATACTTACTGCTTTTCAGGCAAGTTCCTGTGCTTTGTCCAGGATGCAAAAAATAATTGGGTCCATTTGAAATAGCAATGAGAAGTCTCTTAAATGTAGCTTTCTGGTTCTGAAGTTTATGTCAGAAATTTAGTATGTACAGCAGGAAAGAATGGGGTATCCTCTGTACTAAGTATTCCATTTAAAAGCATATCCAGGAAAAGTAATATGGAGCTGGTAGGTAATGATCAGACAATAGTTCATAAATCTAACTGGTGAATATTTATGGAAACAAGAAAAAATTCTTTGAGTTGCTGCCAAAAGCTTCTACAACTTTTGTTTTGCAAGGTTAAGTTGTTTTATGATAGTCCATTTTCCACATAGAAATCAACTTACATGGTGGAAAGGAGGGAGGTATTGGTTTGGTTTTTCAGCACCTATCAGAAATCCTGAAACTTTCAGACTTGTCTTAATTGCTCTTACAGCTTTGGTGATGAAACCAGTGGTGTAAAGAAATTGATGCCTTTCAAGCTATTAAAATAGCTTTAGTGAACTCCTAATGAAAAGGAGGAAGAGCAAGTTATTCAGGATCTGTCAGTCTTTGATATCACTGTTCCGCCTGTAATTATATCTGGCAACATGTTCTGACAGTAAATCAGTGGTCTTGCTCTCTGTCTAGTCCCAAGCTTTTAAAAAAGAACAATAGGATTCATGGGAAGGAGAAGTTTTCCTTTATCTAATCCTAGGTGTACTAGGTACTGTATGTACATTGGAAATAATAACTGCACTACTTGGCAATTGCTGACACATCCTATAGAAACTTTTACCAAATACAAATATGAGAGCTATTGCTACAGGGTAAACAGTTTTAAAACCAAGTTGACTCTTAGTGTATTTATTGAGTTCTAGTGCTGTTTCTATCACTTTTAAGCAGTGCCTTTAAAGCCTCAAAAGTATCTGTCAAAAATCCATACACATAGTAATACATTTATGCTTTTTACTTTTTAGAAACATACTTTAAAGAAAGGAAAGTAGAAAGAGGTGATTCTTAATTGTAGAACTGTTCTGGTTCAGGGCAAATTTGGGAGACAACCCCCCCAGAGGGGTTCCTCTGGAAGGCAGATTCAATCAGCCCCTTCCCCCCAACCGCTTAGGGAAAAAAATACCTCCTTGGAGAAAAAGCTGGGAAAACTGTTTATTAAACAAGAAAATCTAAACAATAAAACCTCTTGCCGTTCCAAAAAAGAGACAAACTCGGAAAACCTCCCCGCTCCGGGCTGCAGCCCGGCTCACTCGGTCCCTTATCAGCCCCTCCGGCACTGGAAATGCCGCGGCCCGACCCGGCTGCTGGCCACGGGTGCAGGGCCAAAGAAAGGGAAAAGCCAGTCCAGGGAACTTCTTTGCCTCAGCTAGCTAAAACTAACTAAAAAGCAAATGACAGTCTTGTCTCGTTGTCTGTCCGCAGATAACGCAGTCCAGCAGCAGGAATGTGGAGGAGTGTGCAATTTCTGAAAACAAACTCCAGCTTCTGCTCCTGCCCCTTCACTCCTGGAACAAGTCTTAAAGGTGCAAAACTTACTATTCGGCATAAACAGAGCAGCCAACTGGGGATAAAAGCATCATACAGTCAATCTAGGACGTAGGTTGACTGTAGCCATAGGTTGACATCATAAATATGATATGGAAACTGAAACCTGGTGTGGGTTCACACAAATTGAATAAATTCCTAGACAGGAAGTTCATTGTGAGTTAGTGAATACTCAGAAACCACACCTGGCTCAGGAAGTCCTTGAACTCAAAATAAGTGGAAGAGTGTTCTTGTGCTTTATGTCCTGTGGTAAATTCTTGTGCTGTTGAACCAATGTGAGTAGGTAAATTTGTTTGTTCACACTTTTGTGGGACTTGTCTTGAGAAATTCAGGTACTGCTTGAGAGCATGAGTCTGTTCCAGTGTTTGTCTAGTAGTGGCTATGCTGGGGTTATCTCCCTGTTGGGCCAGTGTGTACAGTTCTCTCCATTGGAGTGGCTTGAGTTAAAAGGCTTTTTTATGTGATAAAGGTATGGTTCTGACACTTGCTGCAAAAGGAAATAGAAGGTAATGTCTTTGTGTTCTCATGTCTGCTTATGTCCCTGCTCTGGATAAGATTATGGGTTTTCTCATTATACACTAATAACCTTGTAGAAGTATATACATATGCAACATACATATAGCACTAATATTTATGTATGCAGACATGCAGATGTATGTGTAAAAGTAAAATGACCAATCTGAGCAATAATAAAGGTTAGAAAAAAGTCTCACTTGTTCTCTGTGATGAATCAGATTCTCCATGATGATCATCATGGGAAACAAGTTATTGCTCAGATTCTTATTGAAGCACAATTAAGTTACAGGGAATTCAAAACTGGCAAACCTAGGAACAAGTGGGTGATACCATTCAGAGCTGCTGCCAGCAGCTTTGTTCACATATCTCTGTGTCTGGCTAACCAGCATTGCTTGACAGAACTGGGTTAGGAAACAACCATATGTGTATTTAGCCTGGGAGCTCTGTCACAGATGGAGCACAGCAGCAGCCAGAAACAAAACCTCTCTTAGTTGTACTCACAGCATCACATCAACACTCTGGACCACATCTCTTAAACACTTGTGATTTTGTTTTTATTATTATTTTTATGCTAAGTATGTCGGCTTGGATTACATGAAATCACATCTGCAGTGATGGGCTCACTGGATATAAAAGCCTACTGATGGCTTTTAGTTGATATTTTAAATCAAGTGTCTGAACTTGGGACTCTTCATCACCTATCCTTGTTCCATTGAGCTGCTCTCCATCATGAGTTTGTCAAAATAACCTTAACTCTTCAGTTAATGTTACAAATTTGTCACCAGAATGATTGTTTGGGGGAACACTTAATTATTCACTTTCAAAATAAATGTAGCTTGCCAAGAATTAGAACAGCAGGGATGCCTTTAACTACTATCATATTTCATTGGAGGAGGAGTGCATTGGCAGGGAAGACTAATTGTTGCATGCTTCCATAGGCTGTCATTATCCCTTCATTTGTAGGTTTTAATTAGTAAAACTTCCATGGTGTATGAAAGCAGCAGAACATGCTCTGATCAACAGCTATCTGGATATCAGGACAGCAAAATTATTTAAATTAAAAAACCAAACCAACCCCACCTTTCTTCAGAGCTGGTACACCTGTTAAAATGTTGTTGCTGGTATCAGTGTGAAAGTTTTTACTCAGCCCACCATACAAAATGCTGCCTTGGAGACTGGTGGGGACTTCTTCCTTTTGTTTCCTTAATATACTCAATGACTTGATTTTCAGGTAGCAGCTCTGTCATCTTCTGACTGTTCTCTGCTAACTAGTAAAACAATTGGATTT